GCTGTCTAAATAGTTTTTTATGAGACAGACTCAGTCATGGTGTTGACTGATTATTTCACTCCTATTATGTTTTGTATTGTATTAAAACATCATATGGATGTTAACCAGGTTAACCACTTGAATTTACACATGTAAAGAAAACAGCTTAGACTGGGTCGGTCCACATGTCATACAGCTTCTTATTAAACATTTCATTAGCCTCCATCATTGTCCGCAGTAGTTACACAAACAAAGATAGACGTTTTGCTGTGTTAAGTTTTAAGCAAATTCAACTCTATGCAAAGCAAAACCCAGTGACGTCAATTATAATGACCAGAAGTAAATACAAATCACACTGTTCTCATTAACATCTATGAAATCCAGACAGCTGTGTGAGAGTGTACAGAGAGCCAGACAGAGCAAAGCAAGATGTTAAACCTACAGTATTTTACACAGTTACAACATGAGGTTGCTGCTCTCCTCTTCACTGGAGAGTCTTACTGAACATTTCATGACAAAAGTTGGAAAACCATCAACAGAGATGGAAAACACTGAGAGGCTGCAGGAAATGAGCAGACCCTACAATCACACTGGAGTCATCTTTTTAGACTCAGTACCAGTTTAAATAAATCACTTGTTAAAACTGATATATTTTCACATTCCAGTAATGATCTTGTGGGACCGCCGGGCGGGAATCTCGCAGCTGCCAAACCTTCGCTCTCTGGAAATGACTGCGTTACTGTCGAGAAATTACGCAGCTCTCCAGGGAAGTTCACAGTGTATTTTATCTCTTTGATTTCTTTCCTCAAAACAATTTCAGCTCATTCTTTCCTTGGCCGCCACAGCACTTTTGTTATTGAGAACATCGTTAACTCAGCTCAGCTCTCGAATTGATTTGACAAACAGCGAGCATGTGAGTCACAGATGAAATTTCCCACCTTGGCGGAGCTCAGGGCCCCTTCGTTCCTCAACGGTTTGGGCTTTAATGGACGCAGTTATGACTGTGAGGAGGAGGGAAAAGGCCTGACAAATCCAAACTTTCCCTCTGAACTTTTCTTTAATGTCTTCACCTGCTCAGTTCCCTGCAGACTCCCAATAATGGAGATGTTGTCACGCACGCAGCCTCGTAAAACTAGAAGTTAATCAACCATCACATTGCTTAGTTCAAAGGTGCACTCTGAACTGTCTCTGTCTCAGTCAGTGTGAGTCAGATCTGTGAGTTTTATGTAAAACAAACATCAGCACTTCAGCAGCTGGTTGGAGTCAAGTCTGAAATACTGAAGCTGGAAAATCCCAAGTCAATCAAATTAGAAAACAAACAAAAGAATTTGAGAAGCTTAAATGGAAAAATGTAAATATCTTCGATTTTGAAAATCAGGTTTTGTGGATGCCTTTTGAATGTCTGGCTCCTCTAAATAGATTTTCCTTTCGCTGGTGAGTGGTGGAAGACTTACTAAGATCCTTTGTGTAAAAGACCTGTACACCCTCTCAGGTGTTTTCAGTTATTCAGGCTAATCAGTGTTTTAATGTTGTAGCAGGTGATGCTATATCAAACTATGATACTCCTGGTGCTACATCATTTGTTTAACATGTAAAACTTCAATTTTTATAGGCGACAAAACATATCACAATTACAGTATTTATTTTTCACTATTAGCAGTCTCTGTTTGTAATTCACCATCACATGTCCTGACAACTATCACTGGATTATTTTGATACTCAAGAAAATGTAAAAACCTGATGATTCTCAAGCAAGTTCTGGAGTGTTTTTTCTAAATAGGTTTGTGGATGTTAATCCCAATGGACATCAGAGATTATAATAATATAACAGCCTCTTTGTTCAGATTTGACTGATTTATGATTCAGACACTAAATACTTCAAAGTATAGCTTACCTTAATTACCACTCGTTCTGCTGCAGCATTGTGTTGCTTTGTGTTGATAAGCAGCCAAACCACACGAACTAACTTCCCGTTGTTTTTAGAACACCTGCATGCACCTGTCCCTTTCATCCCACACAGTTTCTCTCACATATAAACCTCTGGAATATAGACAAACTTTTTCTAGGTGAAAACTGCCCTAATGAATCCAGACCCTCAGAATCTGCCCACAGTGGACTGGTGTCACATGAATCCTAAAAATGGCAATTTTCTCATTTGAAATAGAAATCGCAAAAAATGGAAATACTCCATTTAAAGGCTGGTTTGAGGACGTTGGAGTTGTTCATTTATACCTAATTGGACTCTTAAGTATAATGCAGTGCAGTGTTGCCAACTATTTTCAGTCGAAAGTTGCTAAACAAAATGCTTTGGGGTTTTGGGAGTAAAGTGTTCAGTTCTATTAATACATCCATGGCTTGGTGTATTTCTGTCAAAATTACCTTTGACCTTGGGAACAGAAAGATACACAACTGCTCAGCTAATCTGAGAGAGATGGTGGGATTGGCCTGCCCTTTAAAAACCACTGTAACTGTCGATGTGCTGTTTATACCTGCGTTCAGAAAGAAAACAAGAGAAGCAGAGGTGATGCATGCAACAGCACAGTTACAACAGGGTGACAACAGCATGTCATATGGTATAGCTCAGGCCATGCTAACGCCAGCAGCTAACGCTCACAGCCACATGCTCCCACACACTTTCCTGCCACCTGCAGTGTGAAAACAAATCTAAATGTTCTGTTTCTGTCACCATTTCTCTCAAATAACTTTGGCCTCATTATCATCTATATGTGTGTCCACCTACGAACATTTGAAACCACATCTGAACGGCAGCAGATCGGTCTGACTCATCATGATGTTAACAGATACACCTGCGCTTTCCCTGCTTCAGTGAGTCAAACTATCTGCTGTGAGAAAAGGTCTATTAAGGGCTTTTATTCTTCCCTGGAGTCAGAAAGGAACTGCAGAAAAACCATTAACTAGAAGTGCATCGTTAAAGGTTTTCCTGTGTTTTATTTTGAAGTGTTGATCCATACCAGAGATAAATTTAAGAACTAAAAACCATCTCAGTGTAGTTTTACATCTTCTCTCTCAGGATTCTCTCTGGAGCTCTGGTAACAACAGGTTGGTGAGCCAATCAGAAGAGAGTAGGTTCCGTGCCTAAACAGCTGACTGTTTTCTGAGTGATCAAATAAAAATATTGCAGATTTCAGGTAAACACTCAGAAACCAAATCCTGCAAGGTTGAATGGTGGATGCAGTTGGGCAGGTTTAGGGTGTGGCTGAGGGTGGTGACTGCTTTGTTGTGACATCACAAAGTTCAGGAACGCTGGCGGCTGGTTTTAAGGCTCAGTTTCTGAATACAGGCTGTGTGCATTTCTCTGTGGACTGAGCGCTTTGATACTTTCGCAGTATAGTATAGTATAGTATAGTATATAATATAGTAGACTATATGGGACCTTTAAAATATGTTGACTTAAATACTTTAAATTACAACACAAGAAGAAAATGTGATTTTTCTCCTAAAATTGATAAAGATAATAAATTGATAAAGAACTGAAACAATAAGCAGAGGTATGTGTAATTAACAATCTTGTTGTATTATTTTATCATTCTGCAAATGAAATTAAATTTCAGTGACATTTCTGTAGCTTTAATGTTAAAGTTCTCCATCTTAACATACTTTTATTTACTTCACTTTCAAGAGCGCAAAGTTTATTATAAAGATTTTATTATACTGAGAAACCCTGCTTTATTGGGAGACAGATTAGTTTTGATTTATCCTTTATTTGATTCAGGTGTTTTGGGTTATTTACAGGTTTAAGACTCACACCATACCAAACCTCCATGCTGCCTAATCACTCTGACACCTGATAGACCACAGACGACTTACTGTTTGGTTTGGCTGAACAAATGTGAGGAAAACTGCCAAACTGCAATTAGACAGATCATTTGACAGATGATCAGATGTTGGAAAATTTAGGAGAGGCTCCTCTTGGCTAAATATCACTCCAGAAAACGTAGCCTGAGGCGTGGAAGTGAAGGAAACCAAAACACATTCATCAAACTACCATTATTTCAGATGTTTAACCATTTAAAATATTGGAAAAATCAACAAGCATTCACTTTTTCTTCTGAGAATTTAAGCTCCTAAACGGGTGGTTTTTAGTTTGAGTTAAATGTTTTGTCTCTAAATGACCCACAGTGGTTCAGGTTCAGCCCGCTCAGCTGTTATAACGCCGCTGTGGTGTGTGTGTGTGTTTGTGTGTGTGTGTTTGTGCGTGTGTGTGTGTTCTGTTTAAAGGCAGTTCATTAACAAGCGTCACACGGTTTTAATTTGTGGGTTTTATTAGTCGATAAACACACAGACACGTTATATTAACTCTGCCACTCTGTGTGTGTCTGTTTAAATATTTAATGAGGTAACATGAGCACACTGCTGTTGCTTTAATGAACAGGATGAGACAATAATGTATCAGATCAAATAACTTCTCCTTTATTCAGTATATTTTCCTTCCTCTTCCTTTTTTACTTTGATCTCTTTTCTTCCTCCTCTTCCTAGTTATTTCTTCCTCCTCATGTTTCCCCTATCTATGGTTATGACTGTAAACTGCATTCAATAGAATTAGTTTTCTATCAGTTCTCTGCTGTTTGCTGTAAAGATTCATTTTATTCCACCTTTTAGCACCATCTGCAGGTAAATGGTGGTATTACAGCTACAACAATTAGTTTTCCTGTTTTCAGGCTTTAAAAAAGCTGAAAATTAAACTGATTTAAAAAATTCAGTTCATATCCCAGAGTGTCCTCTTTTACATTCATTTAATTAATTAACAAAACTATGAGGTAAAAAATATTTAAATCATAAACACCTGATAGAAAAATGGAAAACTGAAAAACAGTTTTCTGATCTTCTTAGTAGAAGTAGAAGAAGTATTAATAAATCCCTGTAGTGTGGCTGAAACTGAGCTCCAATGAAATGTGTTCTCTTCAATCCAGGCTGCATTACTCCATTCCAGTCAGCAGATGGAGCAGTTTAAATTATTCATCAGACAGAGGCACCAAATTCAAACACCAGGGACTCCACAGTGTCAAAAAGTGTAAACTTTATTCTTATAAAAGTAAAGCAAAAGACGAGATTTTAATAATTACATGTGTAAACAAAGATTTTGAAAAAATATGATTGTTTTAAATTCTTCTTCTTCCACACTATTTATAACAGAACAAAAGAACATGATTAATTATTGCAACTAAGTGTTGGCATCCTTTCTTGTTTCTTTCTCTCTTAGTCTTTTCATCTTGTATTTAATCACCGTTTTTCTGTTTATTGAAAAAAGTGAAAAACAGATTTTCTGTTAGTAAAAAAAAAAAGACAGAAATACAGAGAGAAAACATCAGTGTGGGTTGAATTCAGGTTGGAAAATTACAATAAACTCTCTTGTCTAATTGTTTACCCACATTATTTCTAACATCTGATTCATAACAGTGCGGTGTGTTAGTCAGAGTTGGCCATTGTTAGGAGCTTAAAATATGACAGCAACCAGGGTGGAAAAACACCAAGAGTTAAGATGCTGGTAAATGTTTATCAGCGTCTGGTAAGTTAGTTAGTTTGGCCCCTTTTAAAAAACAAAGGAAGTTTATTTTTCTGTAAAAATCACATTTGTCTGGTGGAGGAGTCACAGGAGCTGTAAAAGATTTAAAAACCAGCAGCTTCTGTATCGGCAAGTGGAGTTTTTAACATGTACAGTTCGTTTCTGTATAAAAAATGACAGTGAGATGGTGAAAATGAGAGACTTTAAAAAGGGAAATGGCACTTAATTATTAAGGCAGGGTTAATTTAAGGTCGTTTTTTTCCTTAATGTGTTTGATATTTAGGTGAAAAAAAAAGGCAGAATAAACAGAATGTGAGAAAAGTTTCTTCAAATTAAATTCTGTCCTCATTAATCTGCCAAAGTGCAAATCTGCTCAGTGCAGCTGTAAGACATCGGTAACTTTTGGAAAATAACAACCCTGAAAAAATTTCATTTTCACATCTGGTGTCTGTGACAAAGCTACAAAGCTATGTCGTCCCTGACTGCACATCTCAAGTCCGTATTCTACATTACTCCTGCTCTTTGATCTTCAGAGGTTCCTGGGTTTGGAGCCCCATATCGGAACCGACGGACTCGGCATCGTCATCGTCGTCATCGTCGTCATCGTCGTCATCGTCGTCATCGTTGACGATGTCGTCGTCGTCGTCGTCCATCTCGTTGGTGACATATGAGCCTTTATGTCTGGACAGGCACCACAGCAATAGCGCTATTACACAGATCAGCACCAGCAGCACTGCACCAACAATCCCTGGAGGGTGGAGAATAAATGTCAATACTTACAAATCCAACCTCATCATATATTTAATCACAGATGATTTCATTTTTAGATTATATACTTATATATAATATATAATATACTTTTTTAAATTCCATTTACTAATATGTTTACCTGTCATCTCATTGATTATAATTTTTAAGTCACACTCAGGACTCCATACATGACTGGTCTCAATCTGTAGCCAAAATAGTTTAATCCTATACTGGTATGTATTATATTTCGACAGATTTATGCTGCGTTCAAGTCATGTGGGATAAAGGTTTCCGGTTCAAAATCTCTGATATCTTTAAAATGAGTCACTGCAGCCACAAAAAGGGTTAAAGGACAATTTGCACCGTAGAGGAATTCATTAAAAAACTATAACTAAATATGGGCATAAAGTAATAAGAAATCCTGTAAGAAAAGGATAAAAGTCAAAATCTCACCTCCAATTAAGGCTGCAATGTTTCCATCGTCCAGGTGGGCGTCTGTAAAGACGTAAAATGAATTGAAAAATGGATTAAAAGCAGCTTTCATTCCTTCTTTCATTTACTCATTCATTTTCTGTTTATCCACCTTTCTAAAACATAATCCTTGGAAACAGCATCTTGTTTCCTAAAACACCAAGTGGCTCCACTTATCCAAACTCGTGTTGTGCAGCCAAGCTGAGTGAATGATTTGTACTGAGGGTTGACAGACTCATATTTAAAACTCTAACGTTTTAAATGATACCAGATGAAAGTGAAGCATCTTAAAAGTGATGGATGTTACTGTCTGATATTAGATAAAATCAAGTGAGTAAAAGATTAGGTTGAAATATTAAATCCTCCAGCAGAGTTTGTATTTGGGGAAAACAGGTTCATGAACTCTGTAGGAACAAATGCCACAAAGCTCCTTTCAACACCAGCAAGAGCCCAGAAGAGAATTTCTAAAAAGAAGAAATCAAAATTAGCATTTTTGTCAACTCTGTTCCTGCAGGAACATTTTTTTAAAATTCTCTTTCCTTTTGATGTTTGAGTTTGTAGTTTGTCTCAGTCTGCAGATTCTCAGTCCTGAACCACCACAGACATGTAGTGTCACAGGATTTGGTTTTTCAACCTACTTCCTTTTATATACATATATATATATATATATATGTATATATATATATATATTTTTTTTTTTGTCTCGACTCAGAATCCGACCATGCATGGGATTCAAACAACCACTGTTTATTTTAGAGCCTCGGTGTGAGAGCTCGACTCATCCTGCACATGTTTACACATCATAATATCATCATAAAGTTTCACATCACACCCTACAAACAAACAGCAATGCTGCAGAGGATCTATACTTAACAGAGAAGGCCACTATGAAACCAGCATATGTAAAAGCTGATATAATTAAAGTCTTAAATATTCAAAAATGAAATAAGAGCTCTGTTTAGTGAACTTGAGTCATGGAGATACTGTGAATAAATGAACGTCTTGATGTATCAGGCCAAAGCAAACACAGCTGCTATTGGCTTTGACTCTAAACTTTTTTATCAAGAAAAATCTTTAAAAATGCTAAAACAAACTGCCTTTAAATCCCTCTCCAAAGTTTATACAAGGATTTAAAAGTGGATGTTGGATGTTGCATTTAGGTGTTTTTGGTCAGTAGAATGGACTGAACCTGCCTTGTGGCAAAATCAGTTAATTATACAGCACTGGATAATTACAGATTTTACAGCATTATAGAGACAAAAAAGGCTCCTGTACATTACTGTAAAATTTAAAAATACAGCTTTTTGATTGTATTGCCTAATTACATGAACAACTAACTGAAATACTGTAAGATACCAGTAAAAATTACAGACATCTATTGACCATAAATCTGCCAGTTCACTCATTTATTATATTATTCTGCATGAACATATAGAATTATTTTTTTTATTTTTTAAAAGTTGTAGTAGATTTATAATGTATATTTGTATAAGTAGGGATGAAATAAAGTGAAATTGGCTGATTTGGAAACAAAATTCTGCTGCCAATCAAATGATCAATCAATAGACTCAAGCTACTCTATTCATATAATAATAATGATAGTGCCTCCGCTTTTTGCTTTTATCGTTCATCAAACAGTTAGTTTCAGAGAAAATCCGCCTCCTGCTACGCTTCAGGTTGTTCTTATAACTTGAACGCAGCCTTATAGTTTAGTTTAATGTGCAAAAACATGCTTGGAAACCAGGGCCAGTGGGTATCAGTGTGTCAGCCGTTATCTCCACAGCGACAGACCCTGGAGGTTCCTTCCCATGCTCCTCTCTGATAAGACACTCCCTGCTAAACACACACGCACACACACACACACACACACACACACACACACATACACACACCTCGGCCGGTCCGAAAACGCTTGCAGTGTCTGAGGAATGTAACCTAACATCAAGTTCAGACTTCCTCCTTTGATCACATATTGAAACATCAAAGTGTTTGTGCTGCATCAGTCTAAAACATCAGTTTTTGTATTGAGGTCTGACTAAACGATCTACAGCCACACATGGCTGCAAATATTTTGCCATAAAATTATATTTTACTGTATTATTTATTCAGTTTTGGTCACTCGGCGATGGCGACTTTAGTCTATCCAGTACACAGAAACGCTGTAGATTCCTGAGGGTTTTTGAACGCCTCTTATTTCATTCATTTGTTTTAAGGAAATACACTTTTTTTGCTTTCTTGCCAAGAGTTAGTTGAGAAGATCGATGCACCTCTCATGTCTGTATGGTTCACATGAAACTACAGTGAGCAGCTGGTTAGCTTAGCTTAGCATAAAGACTGTTCATGAAGCTGGTGTCTAACTCTCGAGTTACATTATCACATACGTGTACGTACCGTTTCCGATGTCCACGACCTTTGGAGGAAAAGAAGAAGAAAATATTTCCTTTAAACCTGAACGGGGAGTTGGCGTGTGAACGTCCATGCTGATGTCAACCTGAACAGAGAAAACATATTTTTTGTCGTGGGGATGCCAAATGGTGTCTTATGGTGGAGAGGAAAAATCTGGGAATCATCCAAGCCCTCAGGATTCATCCTCTGGGGACCATGAATGTCTGTACAAAAGTTTCATGGAAATGTTTCCAGCAGTTGTTGAGATATTAAAGGCTGGAAGTTTTACAGTTTTTCTCCTGCAATTAATTGAACAGGATCCTCCTTAAAATGATCAGTGTCGAGACAGTTGAGTTCTCTGCAAGATGAAAACCTGAATCTAAACTCAAGATTTATAATCATCAGGGTAAACCAACAAAACCACTAATATCATCCTTTAAACTTCTTAATTAACAAGCAGCTCCAATATATCAGGATATGTTGCTTCTCTTACAAAAATGTAACTAAAATAATGTTTTAAAGGGGAGGGGGGAACTTATCGCCTCTGGTTATACAGACTGAATCATGACCTCAGGGGAACGACAGCAAAATGGAACAAAAGTGTCAGTGTTTGTCTCAATAACAAGAGTCATGCTTCAGAAAACAGCTGTTAATGTGAAATCGACTAAAACAGACCGATTTTATTCTGTTGATCCAGAGCTTCATCACCTCAGGATTAAATCTGCACTTTCCTCACGCTTCTTTTTTTCATTAATTAAGATTGTAGCAGGAGCTAATTCTACATATATAACTTGTAAAATAAGCAAACTGAAAACATGTGCAACAAAGTTATGTTCAGTGAAGATACAGGACTTTATCAGCATTAGTTAACAGATTAGTGGCTGATTTCTTAATGTGATGCAGTGAAAACAAAGGTGCAACAGCTGCAAGTGGCTGTCACTGTGGATGCAGCTTGTTCTGATAAACACAGTCACAATGCATAAAGTAAACTATCACAAACATTTGAATAAAATAAACTTAACAACAACAAAACATTAACCTTTCATTTAAAAGGTTAAAAAACTCACCAGTTCTGAGAATCTGCAGTCAGCTCCTCACTCACCAAGAAGAAGAAACACAACAGAGCATATGCTGGACAACTCAAACACACACACCCACACCCACACACACACACACACACACACACACACACACACATACACACACACACACACACACACACAATCATACAATCACACACACATACAGATGGGTGTGGTGTCAGTCCCCAGGGTCGGGATCTGTTCCCCAGCCGGCCAATAGCGAGGCTGACTCCTCCTCTCTGATGCTAAACAACCTGCAGATGTCTGAAACTGTGCAGCTGACAACGCCTCTTACATCATCTGTACACACACACACACACACACACACACGCACACACACACACACACACACACACACACGCACACCGTTTATACTGTGTTTAATAATCTTACCTTCAGCCTATTTATTAATGTAGAGCTCATCTGTGTTATCAACTGTTAGTGGTTTCCTACATTTCCCAGAATGCCTTAGGACAACAACCAGAGATTAATGTTTTGCAATCTGTTTTACTATGTCTATTTAAACAGTGGATTACTGCCTGGTTGCGTCTCAGCTCTGGAGGCCAAAACGAGACTTATAAAATTTCACTGTCAGAAAGTCATAAAAATAATTAATTAATTTAAAATATGTAAAATGTAATGTAAACCTTTATCATCTGCATACGTTAAAACTTACAGAGCAAGAAGGTGGTACATTTTGTCTCGATCGCTCTGTGATTACTAACAAACCCAGACTTGATTTTTGAATGAAACTGAGAAATAATATTCTCTTATCAAACTGATGTAGGTATTAATTATTAATTATATTTATATTTTAACATGGCTTAGGTGTATCTGTCCCATCATTAATCATTTGACCGAGCTGTAGCTGTATCTCATAAAAACATCCACAAACTCAGTGACACATTTCATAATTTAATTCATTTCACATCACCAACATCAAAACAAACCAGTGCTCCACATTTCAAAATACACATTGTCACGTCATCAGACGAACTCCTCTGTTTTATTAACAGTTTTAGAGCTATCATCCATGTTTTCTTTGCATGTACATGTTTCTTAGATTTGTTTTCTAGATTGTTTCTACTGAATCTAACAGGATCAAACCTGCAGCAGAAGCAGGGAGGGAAACTCGTCTACAGGCAACAGCACACTAGACGTTTGGAAGGTCTCATGTCTCAAATAGTTGTCGTTATTTATTTACTTAAATATGAAGTCAAAAGATTTTCCAAAAAGAGCCTCTGGGCAAGAAATTAAGCAAAACAAGAGCAAGGGCAGTTATCAGCCACTTAAATTATTTTACAAGCCCAGTATTTTTCATTGAGCATCAGTAGAACTTTCCAGCCACATCCAAAACCTACCAGCCAGTTGGTTTTATTTAAATTATTTTTAAAATCTCATTTCTTAAAATAATATAACTCCAAATGATATAAAGTGGCTGCTATGGTAAAAAAAAAAACCTTTTTAAAACCCATATGGGCCAAATACACAATTTATTTTACCAGTCACTTTCAATTTTGAAGTCTGGAGTTAGGCTAACTAGACAGTTGGTAAACCCCTAAATTGTGGCCTCCAAAGTGGCAGCTAGATTAACTAAAACTCAAAGTCATTCTGAAACTGTTTCTCGCACAGGTGTTGCTAATTAGCTGGTTGATTGCCACGGTGATGAGTGGAGGGTGAGTGAACTAGTTGGCCGTTTCCAAACTAAGTGGCTGAAACTCAGAAGCCATTTTTGAATCTTTCATTAGCCAATCTAATGTTTTTAATATAAGAACCGCTACAGCCAAGTAGCTAGTTAGCCACTCTGCTTTTAAAAAGCACATAAATAAAAAAGTTACAAGCTGAACTTCTGCAGCCAACTGGAGCTCTAAACATCTGTCTAACGTGTGAAATGTTGTTAAAGAATTTCAACTACTTTAATTCAGTGGTAGACTTTTAGAAATCAGTGGCTAATTCTGTAACGAGCTTCGTGGCGATGCCAAATCTCAGCTTTCAAAGTGATGTAGATATTGATGAAGAATAGAAAATGGTAGGATCTCTACGACTAAGCTGAGGACGAGACTGGACTGTTTGTCAGCCACCAGCCAACCTGACCCATAGTCTTTTGGCTGCTGGCTGGAGTTGTGTTTTCCCACCCTGCGCTGCTCTGAAGGCATCATCGGCAGGTTGCTAGGCTTAACTGCTTCTTTATAATTTACTGTAGCTCCCCCCTTACTCGTCCTCATGCTCGAAAAACTCGTGGCAACAGACGGTAACCACGGAGATGAATGTCATGAACTCCTGGAAGTCACACTCGGCGTCGCCGTCAGTGTCCAGGCTTTCCATCAGGCTGTCCAGCGTGGCCTGGTCTTTCACATGCTGCGGGGGGGGGGGAGGTTCAGATCAGGACAAATACAATGACAGAGAGAAAACTAAACATGTTGGGATGAAAACACAACTGGATTCAAATTAGCTGGTATCAGTTCAGATTGTATTATTGACTCATAATATGAAGTATTTCCATCTTTTCAGACTTTTCTGCGGTGCTGGAGCTTCTCGCCACAGACCCGGATCTCTTGGTGTCTTACCGCCATCAGCTCCGGCAGCTCATCGTGAAGCAGGTCCTTCAGCTCGCTCTTCTTCAGCTTGTGTTTGTCTCCTTCTCTCTCTGAATACTTCTGAAATACTGCAATGATGGTGGCCATCGAGGTCTCCAGGTCAGTCATCGTCACCTGTCTTTTCACCTTCAACATTCAGATGAACAAAGAATTCAGGATTGACTTGCTGTTACACTCTCCAGTGGTAAAATACTGGATTGTTAAGTATCAGTTTTTATCTGAAGATAATGTACTGGTGCAGAAAAAGTTAAATTACTTTAATTTGTGAAAGAAAAGTCGAGATTTCTTGCTTTTCCTGTTGTCTTTGACATTTATAATCAGCAAATTATTATCTGGTTGCACCATTTTGTGTTACAGATATTAAATGAAAACCTGTGACAGAGATGGTATCCATTTCAAAATAGCAGCTGCAAAAATAGTTAAAATTCTGACTTATTAATATTTAAGTTGCTTGGATTGATTGGTTGCCATGAAATGAAAATCAATAATAACTAAAAACAACCCACACCAACCATAGAGAATACACATCAGCTTCATCAACTGAAACAAATATCTTTACTTTTCTGTGTATACTACTTCCAAAATATTTTTTATCAGCATGACAGTGCAGAAAAAGTGCTTCATTCACTTAAGTCACTATATAAAAAATATAATATATAAAAAAAACTTCATATGTGGTATTGAAAAACTTAATATTATTAAAAAGATTTTATCAGATCTTTTGGCACAATACAAAGCCCAATTTCTCTTTTCTTAAAAAAAGGCTGATGACCTTACCTCAGGGTTAGTGCAGGCAGCTGTGTGTTGTGTATCCAGAGAGTGGAGGCTGAGGATGGACAGCAGCCTTTATACTGTGGCAGTGTGGTGGGTGGTGGTGTGGAGGCTGCAGCGCTGAGGTCAGCCAACCTGTCAATCAAACTGCCGACCAATCCCGTCCGTCCACCTTCACTCACTCCACTGCAACTCTGCACTAACCAGCACTGATGGGCCTGTCTGACTCACTTCTAGACATTGTTGAAATTTAAAATGATAGTTTAATGTTACAGGATGTCTTATTTTGAAAGGATTGAGGACTTTTTAAGATTTGAAAGTAAGATATAAAATTTCAACTTTCACTCACACACTCGGGTTCAGTATCTTGCCCAATAAACCGGGGACTGGAAATGCCGGGAATCGAGCTGTTTTTGTATATTGTCATGCAATTTTATGCAGACGTTCATGGTTGCCTGAGGATGCATCCTAATGAATTATGGGACTTTCCCTCCAATGCCACCATCAGGTCGACACTTGAATTTTTGTAATCAGCTATGTTTAGTGCTAATTACCAAATGTTCGCATGTTAACACGCTAAGCTAAGATGGTGAACATTACCTGCCAAACATCAGCATGGTTAGTGGTGTCACTGTGTGCATGTTAGCATGCTAACAGGAATGAAACAACTACAGAACAAATAACATGACACTGAAGTAGGTTGAAATAGATTTTAACCATCTACGCTGTCAGCTGTCGCGCCTTCCGCTGTTCATTAAGACACACATGGAACTGTTTATTAATGTAACTTAACTCATAAAATGGATAACTTAGAGGAGGAGCAGCAGGTCTTTTCTAGTTGAGATATATTTACCAAAACCTTGCCAAGCACCTCAACTAATTAAGTTTCAATGAGATGAACAAACAAGCGTAAATGCGCCAAACGCCTCCCCGTGTGTCTCTGTCCGTTCATCATGGATCGTATACCATCTATCTGTGGTCCCCCTTTGATCCAGATCTGCCTCTCCTCGTTGTGTTGGGGCATCTGCTGGGCGACAAAGGCCCGTTTCAGAGGAAGCGGATGGCCGTGCATGTTAATGAAGACGTTCTTTTCACTGTTGATGTTGGCCAGACGTGTGCCCTCCGCAGCCCAGAGAGAGCTCACAAACATGACAGCTGCTCCGGCCAAACGGGCTGAAGTTGACATGTCACAGTGCCAGGTTTCTACTCCAAAACTGAGGGGATTTCTTTAAAAGACAAAAAAAGAAACACATATGAAGTTTAGTCAGTATCATTAGTTAATATATTTTACACAACATCTTCAACAAGTCCTCCAACCTGAACCATATATGTTGTTTTTTTAACCCTCTGATACGACCCATAGGAGTGTTTTCCTGAAATAGCATCCGGGCGTACCGGACGGTGATTGTCATGGTTACAATAATAAACACACGGGCTGTACCGATAGCGGCGTACCAAACTTTGTCGCCATGGTTACTATAATAACTGTGATGGCTTGGTTAAGTTTAGGAAAAGATTGTAGTTTTGTTTAAATTAAGTATTTCCTCACCATTACACAAATCATTGTTGTCATGGTTACAATTTAAAGAGCTAGTTTTACATAGGAATCGAACACCGCTCTCCTGTGTCATTCCTGTTCCATGTTGACCCATCCATCCACCGCAACCTGCTCCTGATGTGGACTTTGTCGCTCTATACTTTGTCACCGCACTTTCCCCTTTGCTCCTGTCATGATCACTATGACCACGAGATGTCGCCTAGCAACAATACGTAACTATGGGCCATAATAACCTGCTACACAAGACGACCTGTGGGCTCGTTTTTATGACATGCAACTCTTGTGTCTTTGGAAATTTCAGGTTTCAATTTCTGAGTTCAAAAGACAGACATGGGAATTATATTATAAGACAGGAAGTGAATTTCAAAATAAAAGTGTATATATTTTTTAAGTTATTTTTTTTCCATGATTAAAAACACAGTGAGAGAGAAAGAGGATGATGAAATACAGCAAAGGACATCAGGCTGGAATGGAACCTGGACTGCTGAGTTAAGGACCAAACCTTCAAGGTGTTTGCTCTACCAGGTGAGCCAACAGAGGGGATAGTTTATCACCAACATTTTCATCTTTTGAAAGGTTTATTAAAATGTTTTTGATGTTAAATATGACAAATAATGAAACCTAAAGTATCATGAAGGGCAAAAACAAAAGCTATAGAATAAAACATTCACTGCTTTGTTAATCTTCATCCATTTCTTTCTGCAAGGGTGGATGCAGTGTATATACAGGATTTTGCTTTACTAATTTTTCTTGACAATTTAATTTATTATATTAAATAATATGTAATTCAGGCCAATCAAACATTTACATTTCCAGCTGCAAAAGGAAAAACCATCACATGCTGATTTGTGGTGTAACATTATGACAAAGCAGGTATATCTTGGAGGTCAATAATCTTCATAGTGTGCTGAATTCCCTGGATGAGTTCCTCCATCGCCCTCTCTGACCTCTGACCTCCATCCACTCTTTGTGTTTTGGGTCGGGCAGCGTGTTGGAGAACAGAGGCGTTTATTACATGATAAACTGTGTCTTTGTTCGATGATAAATACACTCCTCACGCGGACGACCACAGACTGTTTCATTGTTGGCGTCGAACACTGAAACACTGTGCAGAGACACAACCAAAGATACTGGAAACTGGAGTCACACAGCCGGGCGAGAGAGCATCATCTATCATTGCTCTCTCTCTCTCTCTCTCTCTCTCTGCTCAACGTGTGTCAGGAGTGAGACCTAATTAATTAAAAATAGGACATAATAAGTCAACAGAATAATTTTCACTTGAATATATGAAGATATAACTTTATGACATATAGGAAATACCCATAGTTAAATTTATATATATACATATATAAAAAACATTTTGTAACCATATATGTTAATGAAAGATAGGCAATTTCATTTATATATATGCCAGTTTATTAAGAACACCTACATATAAGAATTCTATTTGCTTATAGATATATTTTTTTATTAATTTTAAACATGTCTATCTTCACATTCTGGGAATGTGATCGCAGGTTTCTTAAATAATTATCACATATATGTTTTTATTTTATATGTACATGTATTCTATAAATGGATATTCAATATATGTAGCTATATTACATTTGTGTTTGTTTTTTGTTTGACATGCTTGTGTTGAATTTTTTCTCAGTGAATTATGTGTTATTATTATTATTATTATTATCATTACTATTATTATTATTATTAATATTATTATGTGTCATTAGCTCAGGAAGGAACAAGAAATGGTGTCCTCATATTAAAATATAAGAAATTTGCTTGAAACTCTCCTTAAGAAGTAGATAAATAAAGTCTAGGTTACATTAAATCTATGTTATAGTGTTAAAAATGAATAAATAAGGTATTAAAAGTCATTTTTATTTCACAGTTTCGCCTTCGCCAATAAAACAATCAGTTTATCACCTACAGGATAAAGCCACAGCCCAGACAGACTTTACACCGCAACATTTCACAGTCAGCTTCTCTTCCTCCTCCTCTCTTGTGTCTCTTTCAGCATTTTTTCTCCCGGGACACGGCGTCCTCAAACGGCCCGGGGCGTCCTCAGAGCCAGCCGGGCCCCCGGGGACTGAGCCGTCGTTGTGGCAACCGGTCTACACCTCCTGCTGGTCTGGAAAAGGTTTGCCAGGCTGCTGAGTCACCACCTGGCAGGCGAGCACAACCTGAGATTAACACACACACAAACACAAACATACACACACACACACACACACACACACACACACACACACTGAGGTTACTGGTGTTTCAGTTTCTTTCTTCGATAAGGATTTATAATTTGGTTTTTGGTTATTTTCATTTTTAAATTTGTTGTTTTTTCTGTTTCTAAGGTCAAGTCATTTGCTCCGTTTACTGTTAGTATGCAGAGACCTCTGACCTTTAATCCCCTCATTATTCAATTTATATTTTAGGAAGATCAGGAATTTGTGTTGACCTCAATTCAAGTTCCTCTGGGAGGAGAAAAAAAGGGAATATTCTAAAAAGTAAAGGAATAAAATCCTGCATTTCTGTTTCTACAGTGCTTGTCATGGTGATAATTCACCAGTAGATGGCAGCAGAGCATCATAAATCAACTGCCCAACAACCTCATGTCAGATCAATAACATCAAATCACATATCACTAATAAACCAAAGGTCTGTGCACCAAAATAATAAATCAGTATTACAGTAGTTGATTAAACAACTTAAAAAGGGTTAAACTGATTACCTGTTAAAACAACAGTAAAAGTAATCTAATCTAATTCATGAATAAAAGGTACTTTTGGAAAAGTTTTCATGGCTTTAAATCCTGTTATTAAGAAGATTGGTTTGGGGATTAATTAAAAGAGAATATACAGTGTGATATTTGAGATTAAGGAGTATGTGGTTTGTAAAGTGTGTTTCTTAAACACAGTGACAATAATCTTTTTTTTTCTTGATCAAAACTGTATTTCTCTATTTATTTAGCAGGTTTTATTCCTTCTTCAAGGTTGTTGATGTTGTTAAATCCGTGATTCTACCTCTAGGGGGCAGTCTGACACAAACATCAGACTGTCATTGATTGGCTGTATTGATTCCTTTCAGACTGATTGAGGTTCCAGTCCAGTTTGAGCTGTTTGTGCAAAATGACAATAATAACATGAAGTATCTGAGGTGAAAATCAGGGTCATGCAGACATTTCTAGTGTCTGGTATCGACTTTTTCTTGACAATTAGATAGTGGACGAGAATATGTTCCAGCACCATCCTCAGCCTGTATTTCCCAGAGCCACTTTGGCAGCTAGAGGAGGATCTCACTGTCATTTTCAATGGGCAAAAAATATATAAAAATAATGCTCTCCAAGCAGAGAGAGATGTTAACATGCTAAACATCATCCCATAAAAATCATCCCATCCCATCACATTTATGGTGGTTCACCTGGAGTTTCATTTAACCTAAGTCCTTACAGCAGCAGCCTGGGTTCAAGTCCCACTCAGCTCCTTTGCTGCATATATTCGTTAGATATCCCTCCCTAACCAAACCTAATTGT